TCCTCCACGTGTTACATTACATAGTCTCTATCTCCTCCCCGTGTTACATTACATAGTCTCTATCTCCTCCACGTGGTACATTACATAGTCTCTACCTCCTCCACGTGGTACATTACATAGTCTCTATCTCCTCCACGTGTTACATTACATAGTCTCTATCTCCTCCACGTGTTACAATACATAGTCTCTATCTCCTCCACGTGTTACATTACATAGTCTCTCTATCCTTCACAGGTTGCATAACATATTACATATTACATAAAAAATTCCCTACCGCCTTCACATCTTCCATTGAATATTCTCCACCGCCTTCACGTATTACCGCCCCTGTGTCAGACTATCGAGAATCCTGAGTAACCGCCCCTGAATCAGACTTTCGAGAATCCAGAGTTACCGCCCCTGAATCAGACTTTCGAGCTTCCAGAGTTACCGCTACTGTGTCAGACTGTCGAGCGTCCAGTGTTACCGCCCCTGTGTCAGAACGCGAGCTTTCAGATCAGTATCAGGGCCTCGTTCCTCAAAGCGATCTTAGCGCTACAATGATCGTAAGCCTATGTTAAAGTATGGGACTTACGATCACGTTAGCGCTAAGACTGCTTTGAGGGACGGGGCCCAGGACTGCAGTTTCAGCAAGTCGCAGTAGTGATGGCACGGAAGTGAAAGAGTTACCGCCCCTTGTCACGGCGTGATGTGGACGTGACTAGGAGGGGAAACCTCCTTCTCTGGCGCCAGCTGAGGCAGAATAGAACCGTTTGCGTCACCCAGGCATCTCAACTGATCAGATGTTGATGTTTTGTGTGTAGTTACCAGTCGTAAAATGCGACGAAACCCCAGAGTCTGGGGTATGTTGTCATACCACAGAATACACATATGATGCGGCTTCATTCTGTCTCAATGCACCTTTCTAAAACACTACGGAGGTGTACACACCCGGTATTCAGCAGTCAGACCGGGTATTACGAACAGTCTGGTGTATCGAACAGACTGGTGTGTCGAACAGTCGGATATATCGAACTGTCTCAAGTATCGAACAATCGGATATATCGTACAGTTGGATGTATCGAACAGTCGGTTGTATCGAACAGTAGGGTATATTGAGCAGTTTGGTGTATCAGGTTTGATATAGCCGAATCGAAAAAAGGTCTTATGATGTGTTTTATTCGATGACAGAGTAATCTACGCTTCAATGGGAGGCAAAATAGTATGTCGATGTTTGAATGTGATCCAGCTGTGGCGCCAGGACGTGAGTCAGGCCTTCAGTACTGCACCGCGAGCAGCCTAGTGCAAACCCATAAATGTAATGCATGACAGATAACTTATAATAACGGTCACGTGACAGCTGTTGTGTCTCCCGTATACCATGATGCCACATTCTGAAAGCTTTGCTGACAAGTCACGTGGCATGGATGTCACAGTTCGATATCGCGGCAATATTCGAGCTATATGCCGGCGATCTGTAAATAATCGAGTCTGGACCATGACATCATGAGCACAGATCTACGCAATTGGGATTCGATGACATGCATCGACCAAGTCAGCGAACTTGACCACCCGAGCTGGTTAGTCGCCTCTTACGACAATCACAGTCGTCTTTCACGGCAAGCATGGGTTGCGGAAGACCTATTCCACCCCGGATCTTCACGGGTAGTTAGTTCAATGTCGTCAAGCCGCTTATCTCTGTCATCATGGGACTCATCACTGTGTCGTGTGTAGGTACAGCTTCATCATTGATGAACATATTGCTCTCTTGAAGCTCTGTATATGAGTGTAATTCTCTCTCGACAAATCATCACTGGAATACTAACTTGATCTCATGTCAATTGAACACTCTAAAACCGACACTGTATTTGTTAAGATGCAAATAATTATAAACCTGGTCACACCCAACAATGTGTCAAGGCGTGTCAGCACTGACACTACAGTGAGAAGACCCTTTTATCCATACAACTGTAATGAACGTTTGATAGGGATACACTCCCAGCTGACACGCAGTGAGAAGACCCTTTTATCCATACAACTGTAATGAACGTTTGATAAGGACTCAAGTCCGAGTTCAACTATCAATCATTTTGATATGAAAATCTTTATATATATTAGTCCATTAATAAGAGGAGAAATACCCGAATACTTCCTTTCCCATTCTCAATGAGCGTATTGCCGTACGCCGGTCTGGCGCCGTCATCGTGGAAAGGAAACATTGAACCTTCATGACCCATAATCAACTAAACAAGCCATATATGTGAGACCTTATTCATTCTTTTGGCAATACATCTACCTATTTGACCCCGGATTTTGAATAGGTGGTACGACATTCAATTGCGGATATCGTAAAGGTTTACGGCAGTTGAGCCTTGCGCACAAAGACATGCCTTTTCTCTGCTAACGTTCAGCGATATATCAAAAGGCGGGAAGTCAATCAGTCGGTCTTATATTTTTGGTCGTGAATAGCACTTGAGAGATGAAAACATGCATTATAATTCACCCTCACGACCTTTTCCTGGTAGTTCAAATTTTATAGAAGCGATAACGTTGCTTAGAGTAATTTCAGTCTATGTACACTCATTAATATCTACCCATATGCACTCTTAGTCATTATCAAGATGTGCTAGGGTTTCACGTCAGCTTTATTGTACGCCGTTAAGCGGTTGGTCATAAAACGCAAACGTACGTACCAACTGAGTCTCGTTTACTTGGGTTTAGTCGTTATCTGATAGGACCAGAGTTGCTAAAAGAAAGGGAAATTACTCCGGGACGTTTATCATTCATGTTATCAGCGTTTCGGGGTGAAAAAGGGTTCCGTTAGATGTTTTTACGATCGAACTACCGCCGTTAAGAATTTGAACAATTTCAATTTGCTTCATCTTTGGGCTTATGGTTTATTTTGATAGAAAGCGTTAGATTTTATAATTCTTTTTGTACTACAGTTTCATGGGGTACTAACTTGAGATTCATTTAGCAGAAATGTGTAGCGGTTAATGAAGATTTGTAGATTGTAAGTAACTGTATATTATGCAGGTAACTGTAGACTGTGCAGGTAACTGTAGATTATGCAGGTAACTGTAGACTGTGCAGGTAACTGTAGACTGTGCAGGTAACTGTAGATTGTGAAGGTAACTGTAGATTGTGCAGGTAACTGTAGATTGTGCAGGTAACTGTAAATTGTGCAGGTAACTATAGACCGTGCAGGTAACTGTAGATTGTGCAGGTAACTGTAGATTGTGCAGGTAACTGTAGACCGTGCAGGTTACTGTAGACTGTGCAGGTAACTGTAGACTGTGTAGGTAACTGTACACCGTGCAGGTAACTGTAGATTGTGCAGGTAACTGTAGATTGTGCAGGTAACTGTAGATTGTGCAGGTAACTGTAGACTGTGCAGGTAACTGTAGATTGTGCAGGTAACTGTAGATTGTGCAGGTAACTATAGACCGTGCAGGTAAATGTAGATTGTGCAGGTAACTGTAGATTGTGCAGGTAACTGTAGACTGTGCAGGTAACTGTAGACTGTGTAGGTAACTGTAGACCGTGCAGGTAACTGTAGATTGTGCAGGTAACTGTAGACTGTGCAGGTAACTGTAGACCGTGCAGGTAACTGTAGATTGTGCAGGTAACTGTAGACTGTGTAGGTAACTGTAGATTGTGCAGGTAACTGTAGATTGTGCAGGGAACTGTATATTGTGCAGGTAACTGTAGATTGTGAAGGTAACTGTAGATTGTGCAGGTAACTGTAGATTGTGCAGGGAACTGTAGATTGTGCAGGTAACTGTAGATTGTGCAGGTAACTGTAGATTGTGCAGGTAACTGTAGATTGTGCAGGTAACTGTAGACTGTATAGGTAACTGTAGATTGTGCAGGTAACTGTAGATTGTGCAGGTAACTGTAGATTGTGCAGGTAACTGTAGATTGTGCAGGTAACTGTAGACTGTGCAGGTAACTGTAGATTGTGCAGGTAACTGTAGACCGTGTAGGTAACTGTAGATTGTGCAGGTAACTGTAGGTGGTGTAGATAACTGTAGGTAACTGTAGGTGGTGTAGATAACTGTAGGTATCTGTAGGTGGTGTAGGTAACTGTATATTGTGCAGGTAACTGTAGGTGGTGTAGGTTACTGTGATCCGCGTGGAGTGTGTAGAAGACGGTGCCGCCAGCTTGTCATGTAAGATTAATCCAAGGACTTCATGATTGGCAGACTGGGCGCTACTGTGGTATGCCAGAAATGTTCCTACAATAAAGATCAAATGGTGAATGATATACGATACAGGGTGGGCATTTTCCGGAGAAAACAGGAAGGAATTCCGCAAATGATGGATCTTTCTTACAAAGACGTTATTTAATCACATTAAGTTTACTTTAGTATTTTTCAAGTCCTTTAACGTATACTGTTACACAACACTGTTAGTACGTGTGTCTAAACGGTTCAAATGCAAGTCTATCTGAAGATGGAGCATTCTGAAAGTTTGCGTCTGGTCCTCGACCACTGCAGACTGTTGTGCAGATCTGCTGACTGTTGTGCAGTACTGATCATTGGGTGTGCATCTTTTTATAACACTTCATCACAGACTTGGCAAGGACGGTGTTAAGCGCAGATGGCTGGTGAACCCTGACGATCGCCCGATACACTGCGAATTCCATTTTAACAGTTTTTTTGCAACAGACTCCGAAAACACATTTTTGTCTATTTCCGTTATGGCGATGCAGCCCTGAGCTCATTTCCAAAATTAGATTTCGGCTACAGTTTCTTTATACAAGAAAAACTATTACTCCCAATCCAGTCAAATCATTCGCTTGCTTTGTTTCAAGTCAAGTGTGGAGAAAGACTATTAGTATATGTCGCGCCCTCTTCCAATATCCCTTCACACGGAATGTGATATTGCGTCGGTTACAGTTGAACATTTTAGGAGACAAATTTGATGTTAATGAATGATCATTTAATGACGTTTGTTGTTTTTATACGGCCCCTTTGTCAAACAAATGTGAAGTATTAATTATTTTCTTTCTTTTCTAGTCTGTGTACAACTACGCCAAGGTGGCGTGCAAGTGCCATGGCGTGTCCGGCTCCTGTAGCTTGAAGACCTGTTGGCAACAGCTGCCGTCTTTCAGAGAAGTGGGGGACCGTCTCAAAGATAGATACGATGGTGCAACAGAGGTCAAGTTCAACAAAAGGGGAACAAAATTAGTGCGCAAAAATAAACGGTATAACCGCCCCTCGAGGGAAGACGTGATATATTTGGACGAGTCGCCCGACTATTGTAAGTCGGATCCTGAAACGGGATCCTTCGGAACCATTGGCCGGGAATGCAACAGAAACTCAGAAGGCATGGATGGTTGTAACCTGCTGTGTTGCGGACGCGGCTACAACACATTCAAACGAAAACTTGTTGAGCGTTGCCATTGTAAATTTTACTGGTGTTGTTATGTGCGCTGTAAAACATGTGAGCGGATAGTAGATGTCCACACGTGCAAATAATGACGTCATCGGGACGTGAGGATGACGTCATTGACTCTACTGAATGATCTCCCCACAGAAAGTGCGTCCGCCCATATTGCCCGGGTGACGGAGAAGAAAACATGCGAGAGAATTTACCAATCAGAAAATGAGGATATTGTACATCTTCCAAAAGGACCACCATCTGAGCAAGGATTACATGTATGGATATAACGTTCTGTCGATGGGGACTTGCATTTCTCAGACGAGGCACAGCGTGTTTGTGTTACTTATGAGCTGCGGAGAACCCAAAGTTGCCATGGTAACAGAACTACTTTCTCTACGAGGAAGCTATATACGGTAACTTTGGCAGTGATGTGACAATCACGGTGATGTAAGGATTAAAGGGCAGGTGACAAGTGGCATTCACACAGCCAGGAGACGCTCTTCACCATTATCCGCTGTTATATTGGAAACAACGACACTCAAGTAGATGCCACACAACAACAGTTCACGATGACGATGGTCACTGTTGACAAGTAATTTATGTAACAGTTCCTCAACTAGTGCTGATTAATTTCGATTTGGTAGTTCTTCCACACTGCAAAGTGAAGTCACCGTAAATTTGAGCTGAATTTGTACATAGAGACCTTCACATCCGGGTTCCTGGCATTTAGGAACATTACTGCCACGCTGTAGAATATTATCAACTTATTTCAAATTAATGCGAGAAGTGTTTGTTTGTATATAGTTAAGACAGTAATCAGTAAGTACGAGATATTTATTTACCTTGTAATATATTTGTAGAGCAAAATACAGTGAACAGTTTACGTCATGACAGAAGCACGTGCAGATACCTACCGGAGACCATGGACAGGGTTAATCCAGGCTTAATTCCGGTAAACCGGTTTAATCTGGCTTGTCTCTAGCCGTACGTTATAATTGCATTTAGTTTATGTTTCTCTCAGGTAGAAATCTCTTGTAATACAGTGTTCACGGATCCATGAGACACATAGAGTGAATAACGAAACATTGCGACTGGTCTACATACATTTGCGCAAACCATTCACGAGAACACAAACAGGTAGTGACGCGCTTTCTATGTCAATTGAGTGTACATATTACTAGCAAGGATTGTTGTCTCGATCCGTGAATTCAGCTGCCACTAGCAATGTCCAATGGTAACTGTGCGATCTGTCTTGTTATATGGTTCCGTACTTGTAAATAATTTTGGTTATATTTATGACCCATTTATCATTTGAATGTAACGTCATGGCACCATATATTCATCCAACGTTAATATTGTACTTACCGTTAGTCGTATCGCCTGACAACGGACACAGACTGAAGTTTCAGTATCAATTTGAAATATTTATTTGATAATTTTTTCTTGCTCTGGATATGATTGATATCTCTACCACATAACATGCATATTTAGAATCAAACAAATGCATTTTTGCAAACATTTAATTTGTTCTGAGTGTCGCCTATGCGCTGGGATGACAAGTTAGTCGTCAGCGTTTCCCATCTTCTGTCCAGTTGGAACTCACGGAAGCAGTGTTATGCCTGATGTTTGTTCGGATATGATATTATCTATGTGTTCATCATCATCAGCATTACGTCCTGTCTTAGAATCATCTCTGTTTGTGTTGTTTATTACTGTTGCTATGGTGATCAAATGGCTGTACTATTTGGTCATGTGACGTATACTATATACATGTAAGACTTGGTGTATAGAGAATTTGTACAATACTACCGAGGGATAGCACTTCCGAACGAGAACAGGTCACGTGACCCTTATCTCCCTCATTGGATTAGGCTGAAGTTTTCGTCACAGCTAAACCGAATATTTGTTGTTGAAAAAGAGATCTATTTTCGCATTTTAGCATTTCTTTCTTATTGAGTCTTATTGAGGCTGTTAATATTTCTTTTAACGATATTCACGTGTACACCCTGAAGGTAATGACACGTGTAGACTGTAATATGTATTCTGGGCATAAGACCAAGCATAATACTACATACAATAGATATATTTCTTGAAATGTTATCATTTTTTTACTATATACCATGTTGATTTTTTAGCATAAATGTGATTGCTAATTTCGGTTATCATAATACTGTATTCAGTCATTTTATTTATTTTTAGACTACGAAACCTCAGCTGCACCCGGCAAGGTGTTGTCTGAATAAACCAGGGTATGTAAGTCATTCAGATGTAAATAAAATATTAGAACACAAGAGAGTCGTGATTTTGTTTCAGTGTGGCATGATCTTCAGTGCATGTGTACGGGTGTCCATGCACGTTAAGAAACGCTTTGCAGATGCCCGTATGTTGGGTCATCTTTCTGTGGTAAAGGTCGACGTAACGAGGACAGCACATCTTCCCGAGGCAAGGGAGATAAGTGACTATAAAAGTCCAGTTTCCACCCTTGCCGAACTTGTCTGGAATTATGGAGTTATTTTGGCTGGACGAATGAGTCTATGCATAGTCCAATCAAAATCGCGTAACGATACCGACATCCAAGTCATAAACTGCCGTGCAGGGTGCGGTCGATTTGCAGGATGTTCCAAATTTTTTCATGTTTTAAATTTGGGTGCTCTCGTGATTTGATGCACTTCGCGAAGTGTCTTGATTGGGCGCCGCGATTTTGTTTGAAGCAAGTGATACGAGAGGTGGAATTTGATTGGTCATCAGGAGGAACATGATAGGGACATAACTCGTAATAGCCACTGGTGGCGCTACGATCGAGCCCAGAATTTCCGGCCTAGTTCGGCAAGGGAGAAAACTGGACTTTTACAGTCAGTTAACTCCCTTGTCTCGGGAGGATGGGGACAACAACACTGTAGAATGAACTGGATTCAATCGTCAGATGTGTAAGGTGTAAATACAGTAAACAGTTTATTGTGATTATTGTTTACACCGTCTGCGAGTCACTGTGTGAGTGAGTGATTATGTTTTACACTGACCGCGAGTTACTGTGAGAGGGAATGATTATTGTTTACGCCATCCACGAGTCACTGTGTGAAGGATTGATTATTGTTGACATCTTACACGAGTCACTGTGTGAGTCATTACTGTTTACACCGTCCAAGAGTTACTGTGAGTGAGGAATTGTTTTCAGCACAGTCGACGATTCACAATTTAAGTGACGGAACGACTGTTCATCACATCTTCATAAAGACTTCATCAAGTCTTCATCATGTCTTCACAACCAAGACAGTCCGTAAGTGCTCCATGTCTTCACGTGCGAGTAAATGGATGTATAAAGAGACGATGTAAACCATCACGTATAAAGAGACCATGTAAACCATCACGTATAAAGAGACCATGTAAACTATGATGTATAAAGAGACCATGTAAACTATAACGTATAAAGAGACCATGTAAACCATCACGTATAAAGAGACCATGTAAACTAACACGTATATAGAGACCATATAAACCATCACGTAATAAAGAGACCATGTAAACCATCGCGTATAAAGAGACCATGTAAACCATCACGTAGTAAGAGACCATGTAAACCATCACGTAATAAGAAACTAGTAAACCATCACGTATAAAGAGACCATGTAAACTATGATTTATAAAGAGACCATGTAAACCATCACATATAAAGAGACCATGTAAACTATGACGTATAAAGAGACAATGTAAACCATCATGTATAAAGAGACCAAGTAAACCATCACGTATAAAGAGACCATGTAAACTATGATGTATAAAGAGACCATCTAAACTATGACGTATAAAGAGACCATGTAAACTATGACGTATAAACAGACCATGTAAACTATGATGTATAAAGAGATAATGTAAACTATGATGTAAAAAGAGATCATGTAAACTAACGCGCATAAAGAGACCATGTAAACTATGACGTATAAAGAGACCATGTAAACCATCACGTATAAAGAGACCACGTGAACCATCACGTATAAAGAGACAATATTAACTATGACGTATAAAGAGATAATGTAAACTATAACACAGAGAAGAGAACATGTAAACTATGACGTATATAGAGACAATATTAACTATGAGTATAACGAAACCATGTAAACTATGACGTATATAGAGACAATGTAAACTATGACGTGTATAGAGACAGTGTAAACTATGACGTATATAGAGACAATATTAACTATGAGTATAACGAAACCATGTAAACTATGACGCATATAGAGACAATGTAAACTATGACGCATATAGAGACAATGTAAACTATGACGTATATAGAGACCATGTAAACTATGACGTATATAGAGACAATGTAAACTATGATGTATAAAGAGACAATGTTAACAATCACGTGTAGAGAGACAGTAATAACTATCACGTATATAGATAGACAATGTTAACTGTCACGTAGATAGAGAGACAACGTTAACTGTCACATGTATAGATAGACAATGTCAACTATCACGTAGATATAGACAATGTTAACCATCACGTATAGAGAGACAATGTTAACTATCACGTGTAGAGAAACAATGTTAACCATCACGTATAGAGAGAGCCAATGTTAACTATCACGTATAGAGAGACAAATTTAACAATGGCGTAAATAGGGAGACAATGTTAACTATCACATGTAGAGAAACAATGCTAACTATCACGTATAGAGAGACAATGTTAACTATCACGTATAGAGAGACAATGCTAACTATCACGTATAGAGAGACAATGCTAACTATCACGTATAGAGAGACAATGTTAACTATCACGTATAGAGAGACAATGCTAACTATCACGTATAGAGAGACAATGCTAACTACCACGTATAGAGAGACAATGTTAACTATCACGTGTAGAGAAACAATGTTAATTATCACGTGTAGAGAGAGCCAATGTTAACTATCACGTATAGAGAGACAAATTTAACAATGGCGTAAATAGGGAGACAATGTTAACTATCACATGTAGAGAAACAATGCTAACTATCACGTATAGAGAGACAATGTTAACTATCACGTATAGAGAGACAATGCTAACTATCACGTATAGAGAGACAATGCTAACTATCACGTATAGAGAGACAATGTTAACTATCATGTATAGAGAGACAATGTTAACTATCACGTATAGAGAGACAATATTAACTATCACGTATAGAGAGACAATGTTAACTATCACGTATAGAGAGGCAATGTTAACTATCACGTATAGAGAGACAATGTTAACTATCACGTATAGAGAGACAATGTTAACTATCACGTATAGAGAGACAATGTTAACTATCACGTATAGAGAGGCAATGTTAACTATCACGTATAGAGAGACAATGCTAACTATCACGTATAGAGAGACAATGCTAACTATCACGTATAGAGAGACAATGTTAACTATAAAGTATAGAGAGACAATGCTAACTATCACGTATAGAGAGACAATGCTAACTACCACGTATAGAGAGACAATGTTAACTATCACGTATAGAGAGACAATGCTAACTATCACGTATAGAGAGACAATGTTAACTATCACGTATAGAGAGACAATGCTAACTACCACGTGTTGAGAGAGACAATGTTAACTATCACGTATAGAGAGACAATATTAACTATCACGTATAGAGAGACAATGCTAACTACCACGTATAGAGAGACAATGTTAACTATCACGTATAGAGAGACAATGCTAACTATCACGTATAGAGAGACAATGTTAACTATCACGTATAGAGAGACAATGCTAACTACCACGTGTTGAGAGAGACAATGTTAACTATCACGTATAGAGAGACAATATTAACTATCACGTATAGAGAGACAATGTTAACTATCACGTATAGAGAGACAATATTAACTATCACGTATAGAGAGACAATATTAACTATCACATATATTGAGACAATGTTAACTATCACGTAAATAGGGAGACAATGTTAACTATCACGTATAGAGAGACAATGTTAACTATCACGTATAGAGAGACAATGTTAACCATCACGTATAGAGAGACAATGTTAACTATCACGTATAGAGAGACAATGCTAACTACCACGTGTTGAGAGATCCAATGTTAACTATCACGTATAGAGAGACAAATTTAACAATCACGTAAATAGGGAGACATTGTTAACTATCACGTGTAGAGAGAGCCAATGTTATCTATCACGCGTAGAGAGACAATGTTAATTAACACAGATATAAAGACAATGTTAACTATCATGTGTAGAGAGACAATAATAACTATCATGTGTAGAGAGACAATAATAACTATCATGTGTAGAGAGACAATGTTAACTATCATGTGTAGAGAGACAATAATAACTATCATGTGTAGAGAGACAATGTTAACTATCACGTGTAGAGAGACAATGTTAACTATCACGTGTAGAGAGACAATAATAACTATCACGTGTAGAGAGACAATAATAACTATCATGTGTAGAGAGACAATGTTAACTATCACATGTGGACAGACAATGTTAACTGTCGCGTATATTGAGACAATGTTAAGTATCACGAATATGGATAGACAATTTTAACTGTTACGTATATAGAGGCAATGTTAACTGTCACGTATATAGAGAGACAATGTTATCTATCACGAATATATAGAGACAATGTTAAATATCACGTATATAGAGAGACAATGTTAAATATCACGTATATAGAGAGACAATGTTAAATATCACGAATATATAGAGACAATGTTAAATATCACGTATATAGAGAGACAATGTTAAATATCACGTATATAGAGAGACAATGTTAAATATCACGAATATAGAGAGACAATGTTAAATATCACGTATATAGAGAGACAATGTTAAATATCACGTATATAGAGAGACAATGTTAAATATCACGAATATATAGAGACAATGTTAAATATCACGTATATAGAGAGACAATGTTAAATATCACGTATATAGAGAGACAATGTTAAATATCACGTATATAGAGAGACAATGTTAAATATCACGAATATATAGAGACAATGTTAAATATCACGTATATAGAGAGACAATGTTAAATATCACGTATATAGAGAGACAATGTTAAATATCACGAATATAGAGAGACAATGTTAAATATCACGAATATAGAGAGACAATGTTAAATATCACGTATATAGAGAGACAATGTTAAATATCACGTATATAGAGAGACAATGTTAAATATCACGTATATAGAGAGACAATGTTAAATATCACGTATATAGAGAGACAATGTTAAATATCACGTATATAGAGAGACAATGTTAAATATCACGTATATAGAGAGAC